AAAAAAATAGGCTGGAGCCCCGTTTATTCGCTAGTGCTAAAATTAAAAAAGCAACAAATAAACCCAAAATTTCCCCCCGGCGTGCGTTAAAGCTCCCCCCCCCGTTTGGATAACGCTGGAAATTTGGGGTTGGCTTTGTGGATTTTGGGGTGAAATTCTCGGATTGAAGGAAGGGGAAGCGTCCGGTTTTTAGGTGCGATCTCGCGCGCGCGCCCGCTTGCGACCCCCAACCTCCTCCCCCACCCACCCCGCCATGATGTGATCCCGCGATGCTGTTGTGTCTCTTTGCCTTTGTCGCTGTTTTAGTGGGGAAATAAAAGTTGCTGTGCAGAAAAAAAACCACCAAAAAAATGCTAAAAAAAAAACCCTCAGAATTTGATGGTTTTCTGTGTTGGTTTCAGAAGGAAAAGCTGCGGTTTAGGTTTGTTCATCAACCAAGCTCCTCCCACCTCCCAAGGATGGTCCCCGTTCAGAGCCTTGGGTTACTTGCAGTTGAAAATTAAACTGAAAATGGGCTAATTTGAAATTTAATGACAAATTTTGAAATTTAGCGGCTAATTTTAATGTTAAAGTTTAGGTTTGATGACCAAATGTGGCGTTAAATTTTGGATTTAATTCGATTTTAATGTTAAATTTGAAATTTAGTGACTAATTTTAATGTTAAATTTTAGGTTTAATGACTAAATGTTAAGAGTTAATGACTAAATTTTAGATTTAATTACTGGCTTTCATGTTAAATTTTAGATTTAAGGACTAAATTTTAGATTTAATGGCTGAATTTAATTTTAAATTTTAGATGTAATGGTTGAACTTATATTAAATTTTAGACTTAGTGGCCAAATTTAATTCTAAATTTCAGATTTAATGGCCGAATTTAATTTTGCCTTTTTAATTGGGTTTTTTGACCCAAATTGCCTGTTTTAGTGGATTTTATGACCTAAATCGCCTCTTTAATTGGGTTTTTTGACCTAAATCACCTTTTTAAGTGGGTTTCTTGACCTAAAGTGCTTTTTTACTGGCTTTTATGACCTGAATTGCTGGATTTCAGTGGATTTTTTGACCTAAATTGACTTTTTTACTGAATTTTTTTCCTTTAATTGTCATTTTTAGTGGATTTTATGATTTACATTGCCTTTTTTAGTGGCTTTTTGGACCCAAATCGCCTTTTTGGTTGGTTTTTTTTTACCTAAATCGCCGTTTTTATTAAATTTTACAACCTAAATCACCGTTTTTTTTGTGCCAAAGCACACACATCTCCTTTTTCCCCACCCATTTCTCATCAAAACTCAGCGCCGAGGTCACCAACACAAGGAAAAACCCAGGTTTTTACTCAAAAATACGCCTTTATTGAGGATTTTGGCAGCTTCCCGCTCTCCGCCAGCCGCGAACTCAGGGTTTCTGATGGAAAAGGTGGGATTTTTACCCCCCAAAACGCCGGTTTTTGTCCCAATTCGTGACGCTTCAAGGGCGCCGCTTAATTTCGCTCCCAAATTTCTCATTTTGGGCCCAAAATCGGGAGATTTGAGTCCAGCTACGACCCCTCCTTTTGGGGTGCGCCCGCCTCCTCCCTGCCATCCCCTCGACGCCCACCAGGGGGCGTCGGCGCCGCCTCCGCATCTGAATCGTCCCTGAATTGCGGCGCCTCCACGGCTCCGGGGTTGAAATTGGGGGCCGGGGGAGGCACGGGGGCGTTTTGGGGGTGGCTTTTGCTCTTGTGGGCGGTGACGTTGTCCTTCTTCTCGAACCTCTTGCCGCAGAGGTCGCAGGAGAAGCGGTAGGAGGCGTCGGCGTCGTGCTTGCGCATGTGCCAGTTGAGGGAGGCCTTCTGGCGGCAGGTGAAGCCGCAGATCTCGCACCTGGGCCGGGAGCGGAGGGGAGAGAAGAGAAAAGATGTAAATGGAGATGAGGTGATGGGGATCACGCGATGGCGGGGCGCTGGGAGGTGGAAGGGATGTTGAAAGATCATCCGGTCCAGCCCCCACCCCCCTGCCAGAGCAGGATCACCCAGAGCAGGTAGAGAGAGAGAGAGAGGAAATAGGAAGGAGAGAGAGAGTGGAAGTAGAGGAGAGAGTGCAAATAGAGGAAATAGGAAATGGAGAGAGAGTGGAAATAGAGGAGAGGAAATAGGAAAGAGAAGAGAGTGGAAGTAGAGGAGAGAGTGTTAAATAGAGGAAAGAGGAAAAATATGAGAGAGGAGGGAGTGGAAGTAGAGGAGAGAGTGCAAATAGAGGAAATAGGGGAAATAGGAAATAGGGGAAATAGAGGAAATAGGAAAGGAGAGAGAGAGTGGAAGTAGAGGAGAGAGAGAGGAAAGAGGAAATAGAGGAAATGAGAGAGAGTGGAAAGAAAATAGGAAAGAGGAAATAGGAAGGAGTGGAAGTAGAGGAGAGAGTGCAAATAGAGAAAAGAAATAGAGAAAATAGGAAATGGAGAGAGAGAGGAGAGAGAGAGTGGAAGTAGAGGAAATAGAGGAAATAGGAAATAGAGAGAGGAAATAGGAAATAGAGGAAATGGAGAGAGAGAGGAGAGAGAGAGAGTGGAAGTAGAGGAAATAGAGGAAATAGGAAATAGAGAGAGGAAATAGGAAATAGAGGAAATGGAGAGAGAGAGGAGAGAGAGTGGAAGTAGAGGAAATAGAGAGGAAATAGGAAATAGAGGAAATAGAGGAAATAGGAAATAAAGAGAGGAAATAGGAAACAGAGGAAATAGAGGAGATACGGAGATATAAAATGTAGAGGTATGGAGATATAAAATGTAGAGATATAAAATATATAGAGAGATATAAAATATAAATAGTATATATAGAAAACAAATATACAAATATAAAGATAGAAATAATATGCAGCATA